TTTTTCAGGAAGTTAGTTCGCGAAGTTTTAGAGTGGTGTTGGTTATTTGATAAAAAAAGGGTCTGTGCATTTGACTAATTATAATCAATTATTTTTTCAATGTTATTACTTTATTTGTGTTTGGATTTATTTTATTTTAAAGGAAAACTGATTGATTTACAAAACTAGGAGAATATGTGACTCTAAAACATGTTCAGTATTTTGTAATTGTATTAATATTGTGAAGAAATTTTATTTATGAATTCGTTAATATTAATTAAAAGTCGCTTCTAAGCAAATAAACTAAGTACCACAACATTATTGACATAATCGATATAAAATTTTTAATCAAACAATGGAACAATTCTGCCAATTTCCGGCAACGAATTAAATTTTATGGCATACAATATATCAAAGAAAACAAATGACAGATATTTTATGGTTTCCTTATATATTCCATAATTTAATTTTGATCGAAATTAAACGTAATTAAAACATGAAGCAATCTGTGAATTGAACAAATGAAGTACTAATTCATTTGGAAATGAATATTTGTATGCTAAATAAAAACATTAAAACAAAATATAAAAGCATCAGTGGGATTCTTGTTCATTGATTAATTAATATGTAGATTAAAATGATCGTACCAGGAAAGGCATTATATTTTTTCATTTAAAAACAAATATTTGTAACACACTCATTATCATGTATATATTTTACTCGTATTTCCTTTTTAATTTTAAACATTTATTGTTGTGGAGATGCTGCCACTGCCTAGTTAACTTCCTTGCCTTCATATATTTATATTTATTGACCCTCAACTCAAAACCGCAACAAGCAATTATTTCGTCCATTTTTTCAGCCTTGGTCATCGTAGATCCATAACTCACACTGGTCAGATTTATAGAAACATTTTCATAAAAATCAATCATAATTGAATTTTTGGTTTCTTTATACTAATACTATTGTGTTTATTATAAAATGTGTAACAATATTATATAAAATAGAATGTTAGTCAATCAATTTTTTTTTTTTTTGTCTATAAAACATGTATTTGCGCCTGTCAACAATAAGTTGACAATCAGCAAATGTGATGGCGACAATGATATAATGACATGATAGGCATGTGGAAGGAAAGTACTCAGCAGTACCTCTTCCCTAACTTGTTCCAATTACTTAGGTTGTCTAAGGAAGGAGATCCCTCATCCAACACCTTTTTAGTCTCCTGCTCATGTTCTGAGGTATGTCAGTTGTGGCCATGTCTCTTATAAGTCTGTTACTATGTCCATTTAAATTTGTGTAAAATCGTTGATATAGGGTCATTATATGTTGGTCAACTGTTGGAAAGTGGAGGTCAGTATGTAGAGTTTTGTTAGTCACGTTAGGTGCTTTTGTTATGAGTCGCAATAATTTTGATTGGAACGTTTGAAGTTTTTGTAGGTGGGTCTTTTTAGCGATGCAGTATATTTGTGATGAGTATGTCCATATGGGCTTAAGTAAGTATGTATATGTATTCAGTTTCTGTTGTAGTTTTAGTTTTGAAGATTTGGCAAAAAGAGAGTAAAGTAGTTTGAGTCGTTTGTTAAGTGTCATGCGTTTCATTTTAACATGTGGGCCCCATGTCATCCTTCTGTCGAAGGTGAGTCCAAGGTAAAGTACCGTGTCCGTTTGAGGAATTTGATTGTTGTCAATATAAACTGGAGGACAGGTGTTTTTTCGAAGAGTAAATGTTATATGTTTGGATTTGTCATGATTAAGTCGAATTTTCCATAGTGTGAACCAATCTTGTAGTTTAAGCAAATGATGTAGTAGAGTTAGTGAGGCCTGTGTAGGGTCTTGATGTTTTTTGAAGATTGTTGTATCGTCTGCATATGTAGCTGTCAAGATCTCATCGTCAATAGGTATATCGTAAGTGTATATAACGTAAAGTAGAGGGGCTAGTATTAAACCTTGGGGAACTCCGGCCAAGATTGGACGGACTGAAGACACTTCCGAGCCCTGCCGAACTGAAAAAAATCTGTCGAAGAGGAAAGATTGAAGGATAAGATAGTAGGTGTATGGAAGAATAGTCTTAAGTTTAAAGAGAAGACCCTGGTGCCAGACTCTATCAAACGCCTGAGCAACATCCAAAAATACTCCAGTTGCATACAGTTTTTGTTCTAAAGCTCCAGCAATGTAGTCTGTAACTCTGTGCAATTGATGTGTCGTCGAATGGAATGTGCGAAAGCCGAATTGGTGGTCAGGTATTACCTGTTGGTCAGTCAATATGTCAACAAGTCTTTTGTATATTAATTTTTCAAAAACTTTAGAGCATATAGGAAGGAGGCATATAGTCAATCAATTTTAAATACGTAGATTCAAGTGGTTTATAAATTAAACTTTTATTTATTAAAGAGCTGCTTGGACTTTGTCTCCTCCAATACCATCATGGCCAGAACATTTGCCTCAGTATATAAGGGACTTGATCACGGCAAAGAGAAGAGCTCGTAAGCTATGGCAGACTAACAAACTTCCTTCAGATAAACGAACGTTTAAGAGACTGAACAACTAACTTAAACGGCTAATACAAAAATTCAATGCGACAAACTATTATGCTTACTTGAACAGGCTATCGACTGACGATGGATGTTTGTGGAAGCATACCAAGAATTTGTTAAAAAATCGAGAGGTATGAGTATCCCTGCGAAAAGATTATGGTTCATGGGCTTTGTCGGATAGGGAAAAATCTGAAATATTTGATGACATTCTATCATCTATATTTACATCGTTTACGAGCTTCACGAACGCAGAACATGTACTAAACATTTTAGACATAACACTACTGTTGACACTACCACCTCTCTCGTTTACTCCTTCATAAGTTTCACATCAAATCAAACATCTAACCAAAAGGAAAGCCCCAGGTTATGACTTAATAGCTTCCGAGGCGCTTCAGCGGATTCCCAGGAAAGCAATAATGTTTCTTACAACAATATGCACTTGTATCTTGAGTACAACTAAATTCCCACTACAATGGAAATATTCAAACATCAAAGTGATGCACAAAAATGACAAAGACATTTTCAATCCCTCATCCTACCGAACGATAGTTCTTCTCACAATATGTTCTAAACTTTTAGAAATATTAATAAACAAAAGATTGGCTGACATACTGCCGGTTCAAAATATAATTCCTGACCATCAATTCCGTTTTCGTACGTTCCATTTAACAACACAACAATTACATAGAGTTTCTGGCTACACTGTTGGAGCAAAAACAAGTACGCGACCGGCGTGTTTCTGGATACTGCCCAAGCATTTGATACAGTATGGCACTAAGGACATACTACCTCATAACTACCAGGGACATACTAACTAAAAATAATACTACCTCATACATATTACCTCATTCTCCAATCTTCCGTTTTCGACAAATTCCTCTCTGTTCGACAGGGCCTAGAAATTTCCTCAATTCGACCAGTGTTAGCAGAAGTACCGCAAGGATCAATACTGGCTTCTTTACTCTACATTATGTATATGTATGACATTCCTATCGACTCGGAAAAATTTACCGCCACCTACGCTGATGATACAACAATTTTAACAAAACATTCTAACCCCAGACTAGGCTCAATTATATTTACTGAATCACTTACTGACTTTACGATATTGTAATTCACTTTGGAAAATAAGATTAAATTATGACTTCACAACATATAACATTTACACTTCAACGAGAAACGTGCCCAAATTAGGTGCTATATATCTAGGTCTTACAGCCGTATATTAAAACTGCCTTTATTATAGGATTATAAAAACTTAATCAAACAGATTTTTATGAATTTTAAAGCCTTTGAGAAAGAACAAAAATCTTTATTTGAGCTTATCATATGCTTGCCTACTTATGATTTCTGGTCATTTATTGAAGTAATTGTGGGGTCGGGGTATTTTAATCTCTCTGCTTTCGGGAATGATTTCCCTTCTACGAAGATCCTATTGTTGGCGTGGATCAATTATTTCGTTTTGGCCATATATTTCTGTTCCTCCTACCAGAGTTTTAGCGAGTCTCTTTGTCCGCTTCCAAGAATAGCGGAAATCACCACCTTATTCCTGAATTGAAAAATCCTAGAATTTCATGATAAGTTCCGACCTGTATCCTTCTATTTTATGTGCTGTTCTTGTTACCTGCCTTAGTTCATAGTTCCCATGTTAATTTTCAGTATTTTTACCAAATATGTATATATATATCGTTTTCCTGTTACGCCACCTCCAAGGGTCTCTATTACACCAAATGAGATAAAATTTAGTAGATAAGGGTTTTCCATGATATATAAATTTGAATGAATGTTGGCATGTCTAACCGGTTTTTTGTTGTTTTTCTGTTGTTTTTTTTTTAGTACCAATATTTGAACAAGAGGTTTGAAAATCAAAATTAATTTAATGTTTCAAAAAGTTTCTGTTTAGGAATCAACTTTTATCGTCGATCTTGCTATTTTTGTTGTCATTTTCCGCATTGTTAACGTTGATTAAAGATTAGAATTAGAATTGGGTTGGTGTCTTTCAAAATTGATTTGATGTTAAACAAATTCGGAAACAAAAGTGTTCAAGAAAAAATATGGGAGAGCAATTTACATTCAGAGCAATTAAATTCACTTAATATTTCGCAGGTAAGAATTAATGAAACAAGTTTACATCAGTTTCCTTAGTTCTCTGCTGCCCATACTTTTTTATTTGTTTGGCTATTTTTTCTCAAGTGAATAACAAAAACATCAAAATTTGAAGTGAATTGAAAGGTAATAAAAAGGTGTTGAGTTACATTTTTTAATATATTTTTTATATTTCTTAACGTTTCGTCTTTCTAATCGTATGAATCCAATATTTAGCGCAGCAATGAATTGATGAAGGTGTTAAAAGACTTCCAATGTGATTAAATATGATAACGATTCTCAGGAACTTGAAAAGTGTTACTTATCAACTTCATTCACTCCACCTTATAATTAAATATATTATAAATATAATGTTCAATATAATATAAAATTATATTATGTTTTGAGAGTTACCTCTTCCCAAACTAGCTGCCTGCTGACCCCAGGACGAAGGTTCATGATTTTAAGTTCAGCAGCCTTGAGTGCCCCATCTGCCGTAAACTCAATGTTGGGCTTTCCAGGTTCTCCCTCCACTGAAACGTTCTTCAAGTATCTGAAAAATAGAAGTTTCAAAATTAGGAGAATCTAAAAAAAATGAAAACACACACAGGATGAACGCACCAGCGACAGGGGACCCAGTGATAGACAATTTGGATTTTAAATGGAAATAATAAGCTTCCTTGTTGATTTAAAGTTTCCAGTTTTTCTAGATTGCAGAATAATGCCTTCTATTGACATATGTTCCCAAACAAAAAATTTAAAATACCTATCATTATTGTTTCTATAGTGCTCTTGAGATCAGTGTGTTTCATAGATCCATACTAACTGTTTTGCAAAGAGTAATTTGAACATTTATGTTATGTTATCTTTATCATTATTTTTATAGTTAAATAAAGATTTTTTTTTCCGAAATATGACCATTACTAGAACAAGTGACTGAAAATACTGTACTCACTTTTTTCCAAATCAAAATTGAAAATCAGATAAAAACTCAATACATACACTTAAATACTCTAACCCGTATGTACGGCCCAAAAATTTACGGTTTTTGAAAAAAGACAAGTAAAAAAACATACAGTCATTTCGATGCAAAATTTTACGACTTATAACAGGCGCTCCTTGGTACGTAAACAACAAAACTTTACATAACGACTTACGACAACCAATTATCGACCAACGAATACTCCATCTATATTCCAGATTTCGTCTCAAACTACACGGACATTACAACGGATTTATTAACGACATGGCCACACTTGACATGCATATCATGAGACGAATAAAGAGGAGATGGATGAGAGATCTCCTTTCTTAAATTAGGAAAGTAAACCAGGACCAGGAAGAAGTGCTGCTGGGTACTATTTTTTTTCTCATGCCTAAAATGTCAACTTTTCTTATTAGTTATAGCACATCTGCTTATTGTCAAGCTCATGACAGGTGTGGATGGAAATATGAAGACAAAAAAAAAAACAGCTAATATTTATGTTTTGTATTAGAAATAATTTTTATGAAAACATTTTAAGCAAATTGTAATAAAAAGACCCTATATCTTAAAAATACAAAATAATTGGTATTTTTCTCTATTTAAAAATAAAAATTAAAACACATTCTGCCCAAGTCTACTTCAGAACTACTGAATGCAATATGTGCGACTAAATGGAATAAAAATATTTTAGGAAAAATCATTATGTGAATTTCAGGAAACATAATCAATAACACCTATGAGCTATTTTGTATAATTGATTCTTACTCTTACAATCGTCCTTATTTATGTCAAATTGTAATATTTCTGAATAAATATAAAAAATATCACACTTACAAACAGAAAGAAAATCGGTGATTATAGGATAAATAAATGAATATTTAAAACTAATAAATCAAATCATAGATAAATTTTAAAGTAAATAAAAATAGAAACAATATAAATTCACTCAGTTAGTTTTTATAGTTAATAAACCATGAATGTTATATTTTTGTTGTTGATATTATTGAAATTGTTTGCGTTATTACTGTTTATCCCTGCATTGGTAACAATAAAATTTTGAGAAAGACATTTTAAAACCATTGGTTCGGAACGTAAGTAGTTTAATCTGTGCTGATATTCCGTAACATGGCTTCTATAAAGTTCCTCAAAGTCCGCAAAGTGGTAGTATCAGTTAAACTGTTGACCCGTTATAATCTGTTGATCAGATTAGAGCTAATTTAATAACCAACTCAAATATCAACTTATTTTCGCTTCAAGCCATTTAAAATTTGTCACTTTAGAAATTAAGGGCGGGCCAAGCCTTTCATTCCTCATTAACAAGTTCCAGTTTGGGATTAGGCTAATTCCTTTCGATCATTATAATCACTGAACAAAGAATTAAAAATCTCTAAAGAAAATTGTTGTCAGTATAAATACATTTTGTTTGTTTTTACTATCACTAATATGTAATATATTGTAGAGAAAAGTATTACGATGGTGAACAATTTTGAATTATAGAGCATTTGACAAAATCCTACTACTATATAGCTACAATTAAAGTTATTTAATAATGATTCGAATAAGAAAACGTTCCCATTCAGTTGGATTTATAAATTATCTCAAACTGGAAGTGGTGAAAATTTGAACGAAATGGCAAAAGCCTGTTAAATTAGTCTTTTAGCAAAATATTTGGTTGTAATGCTTACCCTGTTACACGATATTGCTTACCCTGTTACACGATTCGTAGATTGCTTTGCTCAAGGTAAGTCTATAAAGTTCAAGATGTAATCGATACGCGAGGTATAGAAAAAAATGTTTTCGCCACAGAAGTCTCAGTTAAGTAGCCACAACTGCAGTTGAAGTATTGTATCAAACTTGAGTAATATTCAAAATTAAATATTTTAAAATACAAAATAAAATAAATTTTTAGTAGTTAGCAGTTTAAGAAGAAAAATATACAATACATTTTTTTGAAATTGTATTTTTTATAAATCATAAAAAAAAAAAATGTTTTCCCTTCCGCTATGCTAAAATACAAAAAAAGTATTTTATTTTGTACTTGGAATGCACAAAATAAATTAGGTATTTTTACTACTTGGTCCTTAGGTATTATCACTACCATAGCAGGTGCGAATAAAGAATTGAAGACAAAAAAAAATTTGGCGAATCGAGCAGGTCCGTTTATGTATTGCATCAAGTCTTGTTGTTTGCATGAGTATTGTCCTATGTGAAAATCGAGCTTAGAAATTATTTTAGGATGATTGAGTTAAATTAATAACTCAATCAATGGGTATAAAATTGAATAGTTAAAAAAAATATTAAGGACTGCAGAGTCCTATCATAGGAAAGGACACAAGAGTATATTTTGTTAAATAAGCAAGTAATGTTGTTGTGGACGGAAAGATATATAATTAGTAAAAATACTTGTTTTAATTAAGTATTTTTCAGGAAAGAATGGTTTAATGTAACATCTTAGAGAATATTGAAAATGACTAGGAGTCCTTTTTATTATAAATTGTTGAGGAATAATATGAATTGAATAAAATGATTTAATATATAAAGATTTAATATACCAATTCTCCTCTAATCTCATAACTCCTTTCCTCTCCAGAACAAACCCACGTTTTATTATTGTAAAGCGCCCATTTATGAGAAGTAAGTATATTATATTTCGATATTATTCTTTTTTAATTAAAATACAAAATATTTTGGTTATTTTATATTTGAAATATTTTTCTGAAAAAATTTAAATAATCTTTAATTAAAATACAGTAATTGTTTTATTGTTATTTTAAAGCTTTTTTTTTGCCTAGGTCTATATTGCATCTATTATTGTCGAGTGTAGTTTTCAAATAATATCATATTCCTTTTACATATAATCTATATATATACACACATCACTTAATTATTGTTTCTTATGTATTTCTTACTTTTTATTCGGTAGATAAATAAAATAAATATCAGGTGCTAGAGTTGTTTCCACCTAGGTTGATTATCAGAGTAGGTTTGGAATGGTAAGATAGGATAGGTGTGATATAAAGTACCCCCTCATAAAAGCTTTAGGTATGTTAAACCAGCGTGATTGGAATATTTTGCAAAATGGTCTATACAATATTGAAGGCGCTGAAGTACAATGTCTCTTTACAATATAATGTAATGTATATATACAATATAATATTATATGGTACATATCATTGTATTATATTATATATAATTGTATATATCAAATATAATATTATTATATAACGACAGCCCAGTTCAAAACTGAAATAACTCAAAAATCAATAGTTTTTAGCTTTTTCCTGATATTTATTGCTCTTCATCGCACAAGTTGACTTTTGAGTTGTTTCAGGTTTGAACTGAGCGATCGATATATAATAAGGATTTTTGGGAACAGAGAAACGACTTCTCTTATAAAATTATTTTAATTTTTAAGACGTCTCGGCTTTTAGGCCATTATCAGTTGTGTATATATAATATAAAATTTTGAAATAATTGCTTTTAGAAACATATGGAAGCATAATTGTGTACCGGTTGAGCTATTAGTTGTTATAGCTTTGAAGAAGATTCCATTGTTAACTTATAAAAAACCGGGATTGAATAAACACAGAATCAATGAACATTGAAGTAGTTTATAGGATATTTAATAAGTGACCTCATTCCAAATTAAATAATTATGTCAAAATTTAGTACTCAAAGGTCGATTAAAGTAATGTTACATATATAACTTTAAACAAGACTAGGATTACCTGTTAAATACATGGATATTTAAATTTACTAAGTTTTATCATGCTTTCATTAAATTAATTTTCTTAATGAACTGAATTTATTTATATATTATTATAAATAATTCGTCATCACATTTTTTTTTCTAGAAATAATTTCTTTATTTTCACAGTTTTTTTTTTAATTGCAGTTTTTTAACCTATCTTTTTTTAACAAGAAATACAAATTTAATATATTTATATATATATGAAAGGTATGAATAAAAATATGAAAAGAGAAAAAAATTTTTTATAGATAACAATATAGGACTACAGTAGGAGTCTTGGGCCGAAAAAAAAAAAAAAAAAAAAATTAAACATAATTATTTTTACACACTCTTATATGAACCTTATATATAATGTTTATTATATAAATTTGATGTACAAATACAATTCTCATATAACGTTCATAGAAATGTTTAAGATGTTATCCTAAATACATATAAAAAAAAAATACACATCAGACTCTTCTTCAAATGATTCACAGCAAAAAAAAACCTATTATAAACCAGTCCATACTGTGAAGTAGAGGAAGGACTACGTTCTGTGATATTTACAACAGAAATCATGTACAAGTAGTACGGCATATATTACGAAATTTCGCACGAAACGATAAAAAGGAAAATATTAGGTGTTCTGAAAAGAGCTACTTGATATGCGGGCAGTGTGCATCTGCCACCCATGTAAGAAATCCTTGATATTGCACCATCATATCGTTTCGACATGCTTTACCCCTTCTCGTGAATAATAACCCCTTTCTTGGTAAAAGTATAATTCTTTGTATGTCGAGTTTAAGGAATAAAGGAATTACACCTTCAATGTAAGAAATAGTACAGAATTAATTTAAGCGATTTTTTTATTATATTTAACAATACTTTTTCCTATCATCCTTGAAACATTAATACATTTTGAAATCCAGAAAAATTGTATTTTGCGTTTCAAATATAATCTGAATGTATTAAATACTCCTGAATTCTAAAGCGGATATGAGGGGAAAAGATAGATTTCTAGATTCCATGACTTTTAAAAGAATTTAAACAGCGATTTAGGTGAAAGTCATTACATATCAGATGTAAATAAAATGCATTTTATTAGAGATATATTTAAATTGCATGGAATATTATTGTTTCTAAACAATATTAGTCCGTTGTACAGACCACTTTTTATCAAATAATTAACATCCGCTTGAAACTGCGTAAATAACTTCGTCTCATCTTAGCCTACAAATATTACATTTACAAAAATTCTTGGAATTGGGGTATTTTCAATCTGGAGGGAGGTAAACTTTGTTTAATTAATTAGGTTACTAAAAAATCGTAAATACCCATTTGCTTTCCACCTGAATCATGAGATATTTTGAGCACAAAATCTAGAAAAAAATATTGAGCCGTTTTGCGTGACCTACACCCCCAAATTGTCAAATTTGGTAAAAATAAAGAGGTTATATAAGACGTAAGTTTGAATGTGTTTTTATTTAAGTTTTTATTTAATGTTGTATCAAGTTTGATTTTTTCTGTTACTCCAAGTTTTATTTTATTTTATTTTGTTATAATCTTGTTGTTCTTTTATTGTATATATGGCATGATTGTACTTCATTCATCATAAATACTCAATGCCCTTAATTGAAGCAAAATGTATTTTTTTTCTCAAAAAAAGTTTTGTAAACATATAGGACAAACGGCCGATTATTTTTGTAGGCCAACTTTTTTATTGATTTCTTGATCAAATTATCTTAGATCCAAGTAGAAAGCAAATAGGTGCTTATGAGGTTTTGGTACTTAATTAAATAGACAAGGTTTTCTCCAATCCTGATTGAAAATGTACCAATTCCAAGAGTTTTTGTAAATAAAGTAGTTTTAGGTTATGAAGAGATGAAACTATCTACGAAGTTTTAACTGAATGTTACTAATTCTATAAAAAAGGGTCTGTACCACGGACCATAGTGTTATGAAGAGTGAACAACATAGATTGTGGAGCCATTATAATTTAAATGCAATAGGGGATGTATACCAATAAGTCGCTGTTTGTCCGATTTTACAGGAATATAGAATCAAATATTTTAAGAAAAAAATCATCAACTGCAATGAACTTATAGACACACTTAATGACAAATATTGGAGCAGTTTATATATGTATCATATATATGCTTATAAATAAAGATTTTTTTAATTACAGGAACACAACACATAACATCCTTTAATTAAATGTAAACGAAATGAAGAACAAGTATAAGATGAAGGTTATGCAACAAAAATTATTTATTTTTTTTTTTGACAAATTAAAGTTTATTTAGATCATATGCATCAGGTAATCTTAAGTTGTTTCAAATAACAAGAGGCTGTTTAATGTTTCCATAGTTTATTGTTTTTATTAATTTTGTTATTATCAACTCTTTCCATTGTATGCATTTTAGGGCAACTCCAGGTTGACGGTTCCATACCATTGCCAAAAAAAAGTTTTGTTTGAAAAAAAAAGGAATATGTAAAATTTATATGAAAGAAAGCATTCTTTCTATATATAAATTCCAATAGTTCTGCACTCATTAGACATTAATTATGTGAACTAAATAATCTATATTTTAGAACAATGTAAATTATAGGAATTATTAGGTTTCATTAAAGTAAATGAATAACAATTTATTCCACAAATTTATAACAGAATGCATGAAAATACTACTAAAAGTTTAATAATGTTGTAATAAATTACCAAAAGATGGTCTATGTGAAATACGCAGGACCGAGACCATAAACCATGCAGATCAGGTCTGAATGTTAAGTCCTCCCAATAAATTTTTTTTATCTCTGTTTGGTATGCATTAAAATGTAATAAAAATAGCGAAGAAGCATCAAACTGAATAAATTAATAGCCCACATACAATATCTAGTAAACTTTAGCGAATGTTATAAACAAGTTTATGGATAAAAAAACACTTGCAATCCCTCTTTAATTTTTAGTGAGGAATTAAGAATTTGAATTAATGGTTGATATAGTTTCATTTATTTGATAAATATAAGATATAGACTTGTATTAGTATCAATTCCGTTATAAGTTTCATATAGCATATGAAATTTAATGTTCAAGTCCACTACATATTTCGTTAATTAGGTTCATGGATATTATTCATCCATTTATTTTTTGCTTTTGTAATATGAACAAAATTTTTTTATGATGGTAAATTCTACTACACAGGTTTCGTATTGTCATGCCAATGCAGGAATTGAGGCCTTGAAGACAATTAATATTGTGATTTAAATGATCTTTATGATATGATTTAATGCAAGTAAGAAATTTACAATCTGCAAGTTCACACTGTTCCCTATGCCGATTGATTGCGGACTGCAATGCTCCCATCTGGTCTTTCCATTAGACAAAACTATATAAATGATTGCCCAACCTAGATAATTATCTTACCACCAATCAGCATTAATATTTAAATTAAAATATATTGAGTTCTAATACAATAATTCTTCCGGGGTGGCTAACAGAAAAAGTTTAGCATGAAGAGAAAATATCTAAAATGCAACTATATAGTAAATATAATGATATAACTACTTTTTTTTCTTCAATTTTTAACGTTTATAGCCCCTGATACAGACTCCTTTTTATGAAATTATTAGTATCCGCTTGAAACTTCGTAAATAGCTTTATCTAAATGTAACCTTCAAATATTTTATTTGTGACAATTCTCGTAATTGTTGCGTTTTCAATCTGGAGATCGACAAACTTTGTCTACTTCATTTGGTACTGAAAACACACAAATACTTATTTACTTTCCACTAGAATCGTAAGATAATACCATCACAAAATATATAAAAAAGTGCTCTACAAAAATATTGGGCCGTTTAGCTTGAACTCGACCTCAAACGGACCAATATTTTTGCAGACCACTTTTTTTTTTTTTTTTTTTCGATTTTATGATGATATTACCTTGCGATTACAAATGGCGAAAAATATATGGGTATTCATGAAGTTTTTAGTACCGAATCAAACAAACAAAGTTTGCCGATTTTCAGATTGTAAACGCCCATTTAAGGGAATGTTTGCAAATGAAATATTTGTAGGTTAGGATGAGAGATGAAGCTATTTACGAAGTTTTAGGAGGATTTTGATAATTTGATAAAAAGGTGTACCATGGATTATTACATTTATTCCAAGAATTGTTTTATTTCAGATTTACTTCAGGCAATGCAAATGGTATTGAAAGCACACCACTACCTTATAAAGGAATGGAATGCCTTGGGTCCATTGAAAGATTCACAGGTATATAGTACTCCGCCATTCAACTGAAACATTTGCAGACAGACAGTACTGCGTCATCAATGACAAAGATTGATTGATAGACGGAATGACGGACAGATGTGGAGGTTAGAATCCTTAAGATGCCCAGGATAGCTGCTAGAATATTATTGATTGGGAGAAGGGTTTGCCGCCTTGGGCTATGAAGCTCCCGAGTGGAGGATAAAACCCATACCGTGTAAACACACTTTACGACGTCCAGGCAGCAGTTCTTTGCGGCAACCCCGCTCTGCCCTCATTCATTCAATCAATAAGACCTAACTAAGTTCTCAAAACTATACTACACCTAAATGCACTTTGGAATCTCAAGAAATTTCATATAAGCATAATATTTCATCATAAAGTAATTAAAAAAATGCTTGAAATTTAATGTCAGAATATCAAGGGGCCAATAAATATTTCATTTAATGTTCTAGGTTTCGAATTCATGAGTCCAATTTTTGCCAAAACAAATTTAAATTTCTTCGTACAGAATGCTGAAAAATTTAACTTACATATTCTATTTTATAAATAAATAGGATAGATTAAAAAAAATATATATGGACTTTGTATCTGTCATTTATTTGTTGTCTTCAAATCTTCCCTCACAAAGGTTAAAATTTAGAAATGAAATCTAATACCAAATAACACAAACCTACAAACAGCTTGACATCCTATAAACCAATTAACCTACTCCCAATTATTTGAAAAATTATTGAAAAGATCCCATTGAAACGAATTCTACACATTATAGGATCCTAAAATCTTCCCACCCATCAGTTTGGGTTTCGTTCTCAACATTCTACTGTTCAACAAGGACTCCGAGTTGTTGATCATTTTTCATTGGCCCTAAAAAACAATGAATACTGCTAGAGTACATTTCTGAACATAGCACCGGCTTTTGATCGGGTATGACACGCCCGATTGCTCTTCAAGCATAAGATCCTTTTACCTCAGTCCTTGTATCTAAACCTCCGATCTCACTTCTCTAACCGCTACTTTCAAATTCGCTGGAGAACAGAATTTTCCAATATCTACCCAGTCAAAGCCCGTATTTCCCAAGGCAGCGTCTTGGGTCCCGTGCTTTACATCCACTTTTCCGTTCACATCATTGTTCAACCCGATACATTTTTTGCAACAATCGCTGTAGACACCGCAATCTTATCATCCAACTCTGACCCCGAAATAGCTACCGTAAATCTTCAAAGGCACCTCTCTCTGATTGAGCTCTGTTATAATAAATTGCGCACTAAAGTAAATGAATTCATATGCCTACACATAACCTTTATATTCCGACACGATTCCTGTCCACCAGTACAATTTAATTCCTCCCAGATTGCTTTCTCAGATACAGCCCAGTATTATCACAGGTGATTAAAGCCATGTAATACCGATTCTTCTATGAAGCGCTTACGGATTGTCACAGCAGAAGACCGATCTGTTTTTATAT